AAAAATCCAATGACATCATCGGGATTCGAACCCGCGATCTTCCGGCTTGTAGCATAGTGCCTCAACCAACTACGTGACCGCGTGATTCCTATATAAATCATAAATAAAAGTATTGTGACATGTTGCGCAAAGCCGAGCCCCCCCCCACACCAGCAGTGACGCGGCGGGTGAGTCAGCGCTCCCCTCCCACCCCTCAGCGGTAACGTAACGCTCGCGTAATAGGCGAGTAATCACCCCGCATCCTGGCAGCTATGCGCGGTGACGTCACGAGCGGAGCCGAAGAGAGCCGAGCGGAGCCGAAGATAGCCGAGCCCCGTAACCGGGTAACTATGCAAGGCGAATCAACAGCGGTGACGTAACAGGATGACGTGCCACTCATTACGCAACAAGCAAGCACTGCAGCTATATAAGTGAGCTGCACAGCTGGTACGAAGTCAGTTCTAGTGTGGCTACCGCAGAGTTGTACTGAGTCAGTCAGCGAGTCCTGGACCTATCGTCGAGTTAGCCAGCAACCAGTCAGTTGTATTGTGGCATTTGGAGTGTACTATTTGTGACACTGCAGATAGCAGTAATCGTAAATCTGTAATTTGGGTGATTGTAAGAGCGAATGTGAAATAAAATTCGCTATATAAAATACATCGTGAAGTTATTTGTCGCGATATACGCCCGATACGCGACAATAGGAAAGCTGAACTCACCTGATGAGGGCCTGCCTGGACGCCCAGTCCCTGTTCCTGGCCACAGTCCGCCCGCAGAAGACGAGGAGCAGCAAGATGCCCGCACACAGCAGCAGAGACCTCTGGCGGAGGAACACGCCCCACAGCAACTGGGCCCCATACACCAGGAGCAGTACCATCCCAAGGCTGAGCACACAACAGTCACTATATATATACTCTGTCTGAAACATCTCTGAAGGTGTCATCATGAGGAAGCAATTGCGTGTTCAACAAGAACTCTGGAACGAGTTTGGCTCCCCTGTGATGCTGCAAACAAAATGTAGCAGCTTTCTGATGTCGTCATAGCGATCTACGTCAGTGCACCCTCAGAGATGTCTGAGACACAGAATCCTCTGCTTAATTCTGCTGAGAAATAAAAGGACTCATCTTGGTAGCAGCTACACTGTTCTTGAGGGTCCTCACTCAGACACAGTCAAAACACATTAATTAATTGGACCGATTTATTAACCTTGCATGCACCGTCTGCTTCAATACGGGGGAACTCTGCGTTCCGCAAACAGACCGCATTTGTGTGTCTCGTATGGTTCTTACAGTGAACAGTGATAATTTCCCTAAACAGCACTAATCCCTTAAGTTCTGAAGAAAGTAAAGCTATTCCTGAAACAGGCCGTGGAGGCCAATAGTGTTGTGAGACTTTGGGGTTCTCACATATTTTGGACAATCGGCCCACAAATGGCGGTGAGATTGTCAGCCTTACGCGCCGGCCGCACTTTACCCCTCACGCAGATTCCTGGTAATCATTGGTGTTAGAGACTGAGTCAACACCAGAGCCATTGTGCTGTTGGAAGGATTGGGTCAATAGAAAAAATTCAATGACCTCACCGGTAATCGAACCCGCGACCTTCCGGCTTGTAGCACAGTGCCTCAACAAATTACACTACCACGTGCCCCAGTTCAGTTCTATAGAGGAGTCATATTGTGTTACTTGTGAGGTACGGACTAAATTTGTATATACTATTTAGAAGAAATTCAACCCTAAGCTTTAGTTAGTTAGTTAGTTATTGGAGAGGGTGGGTTTCCCCATGCACCGCGACCAGTTTGATCTATTGTGCTTCCCTCTATGATATTCTACTAGTCTCTATACCCTACCGATACTGGTGCTTACCATCAGTCCCGACCAAGCCAGCGAGTTCGGCCTCTACTGGCTTGGCGGTATCTATAATGCTTCCCCATCTATCAGAGGCGTTAGAGACTACTGTTGGGCGGGAAATGTCCTTGAATTTGGCTCAGTGATCTCCTTAGGAGATATGAGGTTCTTCTACGTGCCGTAAAGCTACGACACGGGACCCACGGCTTAAAGTCTCTCCCGGAGGACTTGTTCCCTGAATTTTTCCGCCCTTAAAAGTTCCACGACCTCCGCCGGGTTTGAACCAGCGTACTACGAGTCATGAGGTGGGAACGTTACCTCTAGACTACGGAGGCCGCTAACCCTAAAGCTTTAATATGGAGTCTCGCCACGAGAAGCACAGCCTGTGTCCGTTGTCCCACTTAAAACAACTTCATTTTCTTTACAAGAGGCTTGCTTTTCAGAGGACAACATTGAAACATCCAAGTACACCTACCACTGCCGATGTTACCTCATCATGCAGGCAACACAGAGGCAGCATACACTTACCTGGGGATATACAGGACCCTCTCCGCCACTACGAAGCCCACAGTGACCACGAGGTTCGCTGCAGGTAGGAAAGGCAGCACCAGGAACAGCGTCCCGAGCAGCAAGGGCGGATGTTTCTGTTGCTGGAAACAAGCGAATTTATTAGCGGTTTACTTTATGAAGCCTTCTGTATCTTTATGAGTGATGGATTGTAAACGCTTTTGGAGAAAGCTGTCATAGCCTAATTATGTTATTATCCCGGAATATCGCAGCGCGATAACTCAGGTTATGAGTCACTGGCTTCAAACCGCGGCGGCCAGGTCTCAGCCCGGGTCTGGTAGTGTGGGATTTATGGCGGACTAAGTGGCACTGGGGCATGTTTTATCCGAGTACTTCGGTTTCCCCTGCCAATCTTCATTCCAACTATTGTTCCACAATCACCAACATCTATCATCTGAGACTGGTACAATAGGCCAGTAGTGGCCGCAGTAGCAAGTGGACTGTTTCACCCCACTAAGAATAGTAATAGAAAAATCCCGGAATTTGACTAAATATAAAGAGAAAAACCATGAAAACCTCAAACACAATAACCGGTATTCCAGACGAGATTCGAACCAAGAACATTGCGAATACGAGGCTAGACCTTTATCTCTATATCAACCTGATGGGCGGAAACAGATAAATTACGAAATATTTAAGGCAGCATTTATATTATCATGCGTAGGGTGGTACGCGTGACGAATATAACGGGTTCTAGTTCGGACGATTGGATTAATTAGCACCTTGGTTACAAGTTCTCTCAAACACACTTAAAAACAGCGCTATCGCTGATTTGCATCCTTTCCAATCACCGTTGCATACGCACTAGGATTCCAAGTTTCTACTAGTCATCTCCTAGCAACGGATCTCAACACAGAAACTAGCGCTTCAAATCACTAAGATGTCTTCTTGATATTTCGTCTTCAATCACTCTGGAAACTCGGAACTAAAAGTTCTTCTGGACTCACTCCTCCAGCTTACGACTGACTCGTAACTGCCCCTGAAATACTCGGTCACTGCATTCACTTGTCCTATAAGCATTCTGCACAGACCCCATAGAAAACACCGCCTCTATTGTTGTTGTCGTCACAGCTTATGCGGAAGCGTGTTTATCGAGTCGTTGCTTAGAAACGGGTTGCACAACTCCGTTGTTCCACCGTTGCTCGGCGCGGACGACGTAGAAAAAACAGCTTCATCTGTTGTTGGACAGTGTTTACAGAGCTGTTGTCTGGCAATGCGTTGTTCATATCTGTTACATTATTTTAATATGAGACGCCTTCGCTGTTACACTTCTATTAAACTTGGCATGATAGGCCTCCTACTGCAAATATATTCATGTAAATAATCCAGTAATTTATATAGCCTTATACGTTTCTGCCTTTCGGGGCCTTCTTCAAAGACTCAACACTAAAAGGAATTTGCTTTACAATCGCCAAGGATCTTAGTATCAGTTATACGGTCATAATAGGCCGCGCCGTAGCTCAAGCGGTTAGTCGCTGCCTTCCCACCGCGTAGGCCCATGTTCGATCCTGGATCTGGTCAAGTGGAATTTGTGGGGGGCAAAGTGGCGCTGGGGTGGGTTTTCTCCGAGTATTCGATTTTCCCCTGCCAATCTTCATTCCACCAAATTCTCCATCATCATAATCACCCGGGGCAGGTACAATAGGCCAATCAGTGGCCGACGTGACGAGTGGACCCAGCTGGACTCCACTCTCCAAGCGAATTATACGGTCATAACAATAAATTAAGTTAAAACTATAGGTTTTTAAATGTTATCGGTAGGAGGGTTTCTTGTTTTATGTTTATCTTCTGATTGCAGCAATAAACAATATCAAACCGCCACTGAGTGTCACGTGTTAGTTGAGGTTCCTCTTTGTGGTCCGATTAACATCAACTTTTTCTTTTTCTTTGGCGCTACAGACAGAATTTGTGCCTTGGCCTACCTCCATGAAACTCTCCGTTTCACTTCGGTTTAAGAGATTTTAAGACATTCATTAGGACCTCTTGGGCGGGTGATCAGCTCGTCGCGAGGCCTCTACTTGTACACAAACACAGAAAAACGCACGCACAAACAAAGACATTAAACAACCCACTATTCCGGCTTCCGAGAGAGCAAAGACAGTGTATGCCTTAGACCGCTCGGCTACCGTGACCAGCTCACCTCAACTTACATTGTTTAATTTCATATGAATGAATGTATAAGAGGTGGGCCCTCTCGGCCCTTGCACTGCGACCTACAGTGATCTATTGTGCTTTTAATTTCATATACTCATAGATGGACCATGCTACTGGTGTGACAGTTCAACCCTTACGATAACCCTTTCTATTTGAATACTTATTTTTCAGAGAACGTATGTTCTATAATTTTAAGGGCGTTGAGTAGACAATTCATTTCCTCAATATAGCTATGATTGTGTGAGTGGAAGGTAGCTAACCTTTCAGTATGAGAAATTCAGCTGGAGAGAATCGGGTAAATTAATGTGACGCAATACCAGGTAGGTGTAGTTAAAACCAACTCACAGAATCGACGTAGCTACTACCCACTATTTTCAGTCGCCCTTGCTAAGCATTAATCGCAGAGCTGCAGTGTGCTTGAAGTCACGGTATCCAAACACCAAAAAACTTAACAGACAAAAAGTCCTATGCAATGAATTAAAAGGAGCCGTGATATCGCAGTCGGTATAGCGACTGTCTACAGAATGGAAAATCGAGGGGTCGGAGTTCGAATCCCGTAGGGTCAAGATTCTTCTCTTCTCCATATTGTATAGACCGGGTCTAGAATCCATGTAGCTTCCTAACCAATGGATATCGGATGCTCTTTCCCCGGGGATGAAGTGGCCCTCACCTCCACCTAGCGCCGAGGTCATGAACACGTGGATCTGTACATCCACTCCACCATATGGCTTCTTGGCGTAGTGCCTCATTAGTTCAGCACAGGGACAACTTTACTTTTACTTCAATATCGACTCTTTGCGATGCTACAAATAAACACTATTTTGCCACAATTATGGTTAATGTACTACGGATTCGCCTGTGGATATAATCGCCATTTATAGCGTTAGGTATACGAGATACTGAGTTCACAATATGGGAACAAAGGACTTATGAGCTTTATACAACTCAACCCGTTCATAACTTAGAGACTTAATGTAAATTATATTCTATTCTTTGAAGCCTTTTAGGGGATTAATGTTGATTTCGATCTGTTATACAATAGTTGAAGCTTCAACTACAATGTACGCATATAGACCATAGAAGCAACTTTGTCATTGTCATTATAAATTTCATTTTAGAGGAGACAAATTGCCTATTCAAGTGATAGGCTTGTAAATGTCACAGTACAATATTCAATAAAGCTACAATAGGTGGCCTAGATGTATTGCTGGTGGCATACCGTGGGTACCGTAATGGGCAATGCGAGTTTTATTAAACAGCTAGGAAAATATTGCAGACCTATATTGGAGGGTCGTTATGCTCTAAGCATGATCAATTATGGAACACAGTAATAGCGCTGTTGAGGGATATACAAAGAACATCTTGAATAATTCTATACCACCTTAATTTAAATAAAACATACTTTGGGTCCTTGCAATTTTACAGATGATAAACTAATTTTCTTTCCGTGAAACCAGTCAAGTACCGACTGACAGATTAAGTCCCAGTGTAAGCATTGAGGATGTGATAATGTGCTGCGTGGTGACAGCTGTCATCAGATGAGAATGGAATAATGATTAGGAGGGGAAAATAGAAGAAACTTGAAGAAAATAATGCATCATTAGCGATTTATTCTCCACGAATCTCACATGAATTTTGGTTGAAATCTGGATTCCGCGCTAATAAAACAGGAAAACAGGGCCTAACCAAAAGAATTCATCAAATACAAGATCAATATACAAGGTAGTTCTGTACATTTTCAATTCAAGATAGAATACGTAACTATAAATTAGTTACTAGGTTATTTAAGGAACCAATTTAATTTTATGGTTCATATGGCTCATTCTTCTGCTGGTTTCCTGCTTGACTCACTCTCCTACTCTGAAGATGGAAGCGACATTTTCCCCGAAACGTCGGGGTTTTCTACAATTACGCCTTACTACATCCCACAAGATCTTCGCCGATAAGCCCAGTTAAGCGATGCGGATCAACTGATGGATACATGGATATATGAGATTTCATGTCTTCATGGATGTGACGCCATAAATTCTTGTAGTTATGAAGGTTTCGGATAAATTTTCTGAAGCCATCTTCTGGATAAAATAGTTAAGTGAGCACAGTACGGATGTAGGATGAGGTAGGAATGGGAACCAATGGGAGTAAGGAGATCCTTAGAGAGGCCCCGAAAGGGGTCGTACTCCAAGGGTAAAGAGTTTTTTTTCCTTGCCACTACAGCCCCAGTGGGCCTAGGCCTACCTCCATGAACTTCTCCGTTCACTTCGGTTTTTCTAGATCTTACACATTCGGTAGGACTCCTTGGGCGGGTGATCAGCTCGTCGCAAGGCCTCTACCTGTACATAAACACAGAAAAACGCACACACACAAACTAAACATCCATGCCCTGAGTGGGATTCGAACCCACGATCCCGGTTTCCAAGCGAGCGAAGACAGTACATGCCTTAGACCGCTCGGCTACCGCGACCGGCTTTCCGTCATAATATTATATAAATATTCAGTTAGTACCTCACAGGAAACATATTATGTCTTCGTTACAAAGATCAACCAGTTAGTGGTGTTTAGGGAAACAGTCGCTGTTAATTGTAAGAATCATATGAAACACACAAATTCGCTATGTGGGCAGAATGCTGATTTATTATGTTAAATCATGCGGTGCATATGGTAACCACTAGGTTTAATGGGTTAAATAGGTTCTGGTAAAATGAACTTGTTTCATTTATCTCACGAACGGATCTGTTAGCTGTGTTCCGTGCAGAATCCAGTTTCTACACGCGTAGCCGCAGCAGATTCTATCTGAATATGTCTGAATACGAAGTGTATACTTCATACGCCTTTTTCTACATTTTAGCAGTGAAATGTCTTTCCTGGCATTAACCCAAATCTGTAAAGCACAAAAGGAGAAGAATGAAGCACAAAAACTATCAATCAGTTG